TTTTTTGCGTCACTCGCAATATATGCAGCGCTCCGTCTATCTGAGTAGTATGCACGTGAAGAAAGATATCTGAAATCCTTGATTTCTCTTTTTTCTGAGCTTGAGTTTTACGTAATACATGTCTGTTCATGTCTGGGTTTTTTTCTGGTCGTCGTCTCCGTCTCCGACTTCATCATTAAATTTAGTGCACGCGGCTAATTTCCGAAGTATTAGGTAATCGAGTTCAAGCACTATAACATTTATTAAATAAAAAAATAAAAACTAAAATGATACAGTTCTATTCCCCGCGGTACTCGTATAGTGTCACTGGCAGTGTTTTCTTGGTAAATGACTACATTTAGCCTTGGGGACCGAAAAGAATAGCCCTCTTATGAATAATTTAATATTTCCAATTACCACTAAAGTACTAATATTAGTTGACCTTGCTCTAGTGGCTATCTAGGTAAGTCTACTTAATTAAATGAACGTGGTTTACAATAGCACGCTTTATAGTTGCCATTAAATAACATTTAGTGCCTTTTATTAAATTGAATCATACGTTGTTCCGCGTGCTATTTAGCAATTATAAGCTCTTGGTTATTTTCCGTTCGTCCCATCTCTAGCATACACCCAAAGTAATTGCAATCGTTGTAACGAGAGCGTTACGAATTTATGTGGGTCTCGCAGAGTTCAAGGTCTTAAAAATCTTATATGCACTATATTATTATGCACGCACGCATAACATGCGCCGAGTTGCCCAATCACGGCTTTTTGAATGAATCCTTTACAAATTAGGTACATAAAATATTGGCATAGATACTAGACAAACATCTAAAATTCATTGTATATTTTAATACAAAAAGAAGCACATTTGAAATAGGGCGTAGACCGCCCTATCTCCCAATCCTTGAGTAATTGATTTTTAAATAAAGCAATCGAGTACAAGGCAAGGCAAGAGTGGATAGGCTTAGGTTGCGTTAAGATAGTACGGTTTACCATTTAGGGCTTCAGCACTAATAACCACCTTGTGAGTAAAACACTTGCGTGTAGTCAAACACTTGGCTGATACATAATACATAAACTCACGCCTGTCACCCAGAGGCGTAGGCAGAGACATTCTTCCTACATGACCAAACCGCCGAAACATTCCTTTCTTAATCCTGGTCACAACTTCATCTTGCAAAACTTGGCTTATAATAACTACAAAATAATATATGTATGATTTTTATCAAAACAGAATTGAATCCGTGCGAAAAAAATAATAAATAAACAAACCAACATAATCTAAAACTATGTATAATTATTATTTTGATAACGCGTTATAAAGATATGATAGCGATTTTTGGAGAATTTAAAGAAGGTACAAAAAAAAGGTTGAGATTACGTTAAAGATAATAATCTTTACGTAGGGCTGCCAGTCGTCAGGATTTCCCCGGGTTTTACTAATTTGGAGTGATTGCATCCAAGAGAAATTACCGAGAAGAAACCCACATATATTTTTGTCCAAATTACATCCAATTAATTCAGTAACAATCAATAAATTTAAATAACTTTAAAGCAGACTACTAATTCCCGTTGGAAAACTGGGGCATTTTAGCAAAAATTGGGAATTAATCGAGGATAAATGTAGATGTCTATGGGCCACAGCATCCACTCACCATCAGGTGGACTGTGTGCTCCTTATTCAATAAAAAAAATCCTTCATCGGCTCCCGTGGTAAATATTAGCACTTAAAATTGCAATTAACAATTTAATTGAGCCGGCGGGGATCGAACCCGGGTTGCTCGCGTACTGTGAAATTTACAGCGAGCACTTAGCCCCCGGGCTACCACAGCTACAGTTTTATGATTGCATAATTGCAGCTGCCCTCAACATATTAACTGCTATCATATTATAAAAACCTTTTTTGTTTGATAATAATTCCTTAATACAATATTGACTTTCTTCCTTGATACAATATTGACTTTAACAAAGTCTTATTACATCACATTACGTTCCTGAAGTGATGTATATTTTATTTTATTTAAGGTAGATTCTTCAATACTAAGATATAAGTCATAGGTTGAAGTTTGTAAGAATAAAATAGTTTAATTGTTTCACGATTATACTTAATCGGGTTATAATTTGCTCTTTGGATGACTTATATATACCCTTAGTTTTAGGCTTAATTATTTAAATCTAACGTCAAAATCTACTGTCGGCTTCAAAACTGAGATAATGATATCAGAAACCGAAGAACTAGCAATAAATTTTGATAAATTGCATTTTCTGTTATTATTTTCTACAGAAAGATTGTATTTTATTTATATTTTACATTTATGAAGTATAATAATTATGGAACTATATTCGATTAGAATAACAATTTATAAGAGTATATAAAAATCTATTGCTTCCCGTTAGATTCGCTAAAACTCGATAACGACTCGAACAATTTTAATGATTTTTTTACAAGATAGGATGACCAACGAGCACACAGTCCACCTGATGGTAAGTGGTTACAGTGGCCCATAGACATTTACATCTATCCTCGATCACGAATCAAAATGTGAATACGTTGTCACCCGTGAGGACTAAGATGGAATGCCTTGTTTCTAGTAATAAGGGCCTCCGGTTCTCTAAACTCACCACACGAAACACAACAGCACTAAGCTACTATTTTATGCTGGTATTCTGTGAGGGCGTGGTTCTCCCCCGGACGAGCCGACTAATTCGTGCTACAACTATACTATGTACTAATATAACTGCAACATGGTTCTAGCACGTGATTTGTGCGTTTGAGTGAGTCTTTGGATGGTTTAAATTCACAATTGGACCCGTGGTTCTGCTGTCGAGAACCAGAAATCACCCGTGCGAAACCGATGCGGATCGCTGGTATATTATGTTGGAAAATAAATAAAAATAGCTCTTTGGATGTTGGCAAATTTACTATCTGTATAATCCATAAACAATGACAATGTTATATATGTTATTATAACACGAAATTTGTAATTTCTAAAAATTATATGATCTCTAAAAGACATCATACATATTTTTTTAAAGAACATTATAAGTATACCGAGAAATGTAAAGTAATACGTTGGTATTGAACCATTTTATATGTCTGTAAGTCTATATACTAATAAAATTTTAAGTCGTTGCTTTTTTGTTTTTTTTTTCTTAAGAAAGGTTGTATTTATATTTTACATTTATTATGTACTTTGAGAATTCAAAATGATTATGTATAATAATTAAAGGAAACTTAAAATAACAATTTATATTATATTTTAATCGAAGCAAAAGAAATAAAAATAGCTCTCTATAGACGTTGGCAAAAACGCTATCTGTACAGTCCATTAGCAATAACACGAAGATTATAACTCGCAATTTCTAAAAATAAAATGATTACTAAAGCAGCACAGACATATTTTTTTGCAGAACATATATTATATGCTGGGGATTGTAGTCTTATGTTGATATAAACCGTTTTATTTAAGTATATGTCTCCAAGTAGATAAAAACTAAAATCTATCTTTATGCAAAACTCCTTTTTGACAAAATGTACTGACTGATTGCTTTACATTTATAATTAATATAATGTAGTGAACACAATATAACGTTGGCAGATGTACAATCAGACCTGACAGTATGGCAGGAATCCTTAGAAAGAAGAGGGATGAGTCAATAGAGAGAAGACTGTATACATGTACTGTAACTTTTCTTACGCCAATACGGATGTTATTCCATGTCCATCTATCGAAGGTAGACCTCTTAAGAGAGTTGCAGAGTTTAAGTATCTCGGATCCATTGTAGCACCAAAGGCATGTTTAGTTGGTTGTTTGGTTAAAATGGAGAACGCTGTATAGTAATTTATGCGACTCCCGTATGCCTATTAAAATAAAAGGCAATGTATACAAAAGAGCAGTAAGACCAGCTCGCCAGCACTTGTAGCACGAACGGGTCGGCTCGACCGGGTAAGGACCACGCTCTCAGAGAATACCAGCGTAAAATAGCAGCTTAATGCTGCTGTGTTTCGTACGATGAGTGTAGAGAACCAAAGACCCTTTTTACTGGAAATGAGGCATTAAATTTTAGTCCTCACGGGTGACAACGCATCTGTATTTTGATACGTAATTGAGGATAGATGTAGATGTGTATAGGTCACAGCAACCACTTACCATCAGGTGGACTGTGTGCTCGTTTGTCATGTTATCATATAAAAAAGAAACGATATTATTCGTGGTAGTTTCAAGGTTGCTATGGTGCACGAAAAATTTTGAAAAAACCGTCTACGCTGGTACGGACACGTGATAAGACGGGATGATGATCATATGACTAAAAAATTTATGAACATAGAAGAGGGGAAGAAAGGCCGTGGATTGCCACTAAAAACCTGGCTACATACATTAAAAACGACCTGAATTCTACTAACATGTCAGAATGGATAACTCACAACGGCACGATGTGGCGTAAGATTACTAGGAGGGCTGACCCGAATTAAATTGGACAATAGCCAGGGAAAAGAAAAGAAAAAGCTAATGTAGTGAACACACCCATTTGCATTAAAAACTTATACAAAATGTGTTGGTAAAGTCATGTTGCAGCTATATTATGGTGCCAACACGGGTCGGCTCGAACGGGGAAGGGCCACGCTCTCACAGAATAACAGCGTAAAATAGCAGCTTAATGTTGTTGTATTACATATGGTGGGTGTAGAGAGCCGAAGACCCGTTTTTCTGCAAACGGGACATTGAATTTTAATGCTCAGGGGTGACAACCTGTCTGTATTTTGATTCTGGATGAGTATAGATGTAGATGTCCATGGGCCATAGCATCCGCTTACAATTAGGTGGACTGTGCGCTCGTTTGTTATCCAGCCAAGGAAAAAACATTGTTTTGCAAATCGTTACAAAAAGCTTACGTTAAAAGCACACTGGTGTATTTTTGCAACAGCAAGGTATCTTATTGCGGGAAGCGACTAATTGCACAGAAATTTAAGTGCAAGCTTTAATAAACCTACGGATATTCTGATAAGAATCATTTACCTCATCGACATATCTGCAATGTCGGACGGCCTCGTACCTCTCGTCCTCTGTCATTACTGTTCGCCCCTTGCGGCTGTGTGTCAGTTTGTCGTTGCATACTGCAAATAAAAAGTAACTTATATTTACTACTAATAAATAAATAGGCTTTGGATAGAATTCGGTTTGTTTAAATATCTTATGAGTGACATGTCAAACTACGGGCTCTCATCGAAACAGTAATTTCCGTCAATATTCCCTACACATTAATCTACATTTTATAAAACTGAACTTATTGAGTCGGAACCATGGTTTAGAAAATTTTTATAAAAGAAAATCGTTCATGTGCATGCCAGGTACAATAAGTGTGTATATAGGAAAAAATGTTAAATAAAATCAAATAGCTTTTAATAACGCCAAGAATGATAATTGCTTAAGAAAAATTTCAAGTTTCTATTTTACAAAACTAAACCCTGGAATTTCAACTTCACTGCCGTATTTAGGTAATAGCTTTTTATAATTCGGCAAAATTTTAAGTCTACCTACATAAAACGTTCTCAGAGAAAAATAGCTGTATGTGCCCATGTGTATAAAATACCGACAAACAGATGAAAAAAGACACAGAGTTGATTCTATAAAGGTTCCGTTTGAATGAAATATAACAAGGAACACCAAACGTAATCTATTATTATTAATTAAAAAAATTACCATTTAATTTTGAATTATCTTATTATTGTTATGTAAGTATTATTTTTTATCTGTATACTTGTTATTTAAGTATTATTTTTATCGTTATCTATAGATAAAAAATTACGTTGTAAAGTTATTGAAAGATATAAAAATATTGGTGACTTCCGTACTTCCGCTAATCGCTATTTCTTAGTAACGTTATTAATTATTTTTGGGTCTTTTCCGTCCTTGACAACACTGAGATTGACCTCATGAAACACATTCGCGATACATACTCGTCTCAATACCACAGAGCAGCTGCATGCTGGTTCCAATAGGTCCACGTGTTACTCCACTATCAAAACTGAAGCAAGGCCATTACTAAAGACGTGATAACGTCAATTATTACACATAATTACAATACCTAGCACATATCACAAGATAAACCTCGTACGACACATGTCGACCAATCGCAAGCGCCATTAGCGAAGCATGCTTGATTTTTATTAACGATAGTACATTGTTACAGTCATTACTGATATTTAAGGAATTAATTGATAAACAAAGTTTATATTTGTAACATAGCTCATCAGCAATGTTTATTTTTACGACATTTTTCAGATTCTTGAATGATCTTTAGCAATAAGTAATGACACGACATTAGACGCATTTGTTTTTTAGCATATAAAACGAAACGTACCATTATTTATTCCTGCCTTAAAATTGGTTTCTAAACAATAAAATATTTGCTTGTTCGTTTGTTTGCTTATTTTCTATGTGTTCCTGTGCCATTTATCTAATTATGTGCAATTTTGGTAAATTGTAGAGCGCGCGCCCGCAAAAGGTTTCTGTCAAAAAAGAAGCATTACAACTCATGCCTGACACAGCTACGAATAAGTTTGGTAATAAAGTCAACGTAACACTAACAGCAATCATCATGCTTATGCTTCCCTGCCTAATTCAAGTACATATACACGTAGTCTTCGTCCATACGCACTATTAATGCAATATAATCTTTTACTACTTTAAATGACTAGAATGCTGCAACCAATGCCGCAATATTGAGCAATCTATATCAAATGTAAAATGAATTGTAAAAATAAAATGAAATGTAAAAACGACTATTTGGAGGTAACAATAGAGTAAATGAGTCACAATGTTTGTGTTGCGTATGCATCCCGGTATTTTCCGTTCTATGAGATCACTTTTCATTTAATTGATAATTTAGTAATGAATTATTGCGTGCGATGAGAACTTTATATGACCATATTATTTTTAATAGACTTCATATTGAACACAAGACAAGACAGATTTGAATTCTGCTGTGTCCGTAGAAGTACATCTTTATTTATTTATTACTAGCGATTCGGTCAGGCTTCGCACGGGTGATTTCTGGATCTCGACAACAGCGCTACCTTCCGGGTCCAAATGTGAAACTAAACTATCTAGGGAGCCATTCAAAAACACGCACAAAATATAATCAAAACCGGTCGAGCCATTTTTGAGTTTCAGCGAGACCAACGGACAGCAATTATTGATTATTTTCTTCTATTACTGGCTGCGTTTGGCAGAAAAAAGCGCTAGCAAGCGCTTGTAAGCAAAATGGCGATCGTAAGCGGTAAGCGCTGTCAAATCGTAAGTAGCTATTTTCCTCCAGGACACGATGTTAGTTTTAACCGCGGAACCTAACCTAATTTAAATATATATTTGTAAAGTATTCATATTAAAAACTTACCGATCATGAATTTTTAATAACATGTAAATATGTTTATTCATGTCAATATACTACTTAAAACTAATATTGCACAAAACAAATAAACTCTACTTCAAAACAAACAAATAAAATAAGCAAAATGGCGGATTGTGTCAGCGCTACTGAAGTAGCAATCGTGTCCTGGCCGAAAACTATTTCAGCGCTTGTATAAGCGCTTGCTAGCGCTTTTTTCTGCCAAACGCAACCATTAATTATTTACTCTACCAGTCAACCAAAGGAAAAATATTGACAGAAACCGTGTAGTCAATAAAATTAAGCACATCCTATGAACTCATGTCGTTTGTGTTTACAACAATGGTTGAATTAATTAATGAATTTGTTTAATCGATTAAATTATAAATTAAATCTAAGGAACACTCTTTTAAAAATAATAAAACACAACAAGAGCCTAAATCTGTTAGAATGGTGACGAGGACTAAGACAATGAAAAAACAAAGACGTACCACGTGAGGGCATTTGTTTCGTAACTTGGTAAATTTCAGCTAATTTTCAGATACAATAATCACATTTTTTCTTAAATCATCGCATCACAATCAATTTACTTTGAGTTTAATTTTTTAAATCAAAAACGTAAACGTTATCAAGGCAATAGTTGGATCCGAGCTTTTGGCACGGAGTTTAAATTAGGTCTCCGAATCTCTAAGAAAAGATTTAATGTGATACACAAAACATTTACTGTGCGGTCTGTCCACTGACGTGAGATGTTACCTATACCGTCAGTATTTTACAGTCTACTGGTGGTTTTTTTTTTTCGGGAAAGGACAAATACTTTACTGTACGGATCTCTGCTCTTCGTGTGCCACATAGGCACTTTTATAGGGTATAATTATTGCTATATTTTATGTATCTGCTATATCATGTGTCCTTTGGTCAAACACCTACTATGTTCAGTTTATTAGATCCTATTAAAATAATTTCCTATTTAATTAATAGAATCAAGCGCTAATTTTCGGAAATCCATTATATAAAAGTTGGTAAGAATTACTTCGCCCATATCCGCTCAATTACATAAAATGATATGTCTTACCTAGTTTGAAGAGCACCTCTGGCCCTCCCTCTATTGCGTCTGCACCAATATATCCATCACTACTACACTAGGAAAGGCACACCATCGACGATAACACGAGATGTGTTTCGCTTCTACACGGGGCATCCCTCAGGTGATGTAGACTCTACGATGGCTGAACGCGAAGATCTTAGCGTCTTTTCTAGTGTAGTGGTGTTGGGGGTAGTGTTGCTGGGATTAGTGGTGACTGGGATAAGTGGTGACTGGGATAGTGCAAGCAATTGAGGGAGGACGAGAGGTGCTCTTCGAACTAGATAATACACACCGTTTTATTTAATTGAGCGAATGTGGGCGAAGTAAATCTTACCAACTTTAATCTCCTATTTTTAAATAATATTTTATCCTAATAATACAATAAAAACATTTTTGGGAAATGCAAAAAATTTTTATAGGTTTTCTATTTTTTTTATCTAATTCACGATTTGTTTTATCTCAATTTGATTATTTTTTTACAAGTGCGGTGTACCTAATTCGAGGTTAATAAGAACAAGTTTTTACTGCATGATACATGCAATGATATTTCCTGTAAAAGTGATAAAGCAAATTTGTAATTTTCTTATTTTTTTTTTTGCCAAGACTATTCACTAAAAACTGTTTTTAAACGACATTAAAAAAAAAGAAGGAGGTACTCAATTCGACTCTATTTTTTTACGTGTGTTATACCTTAGAACGTTTTTCTAGGTGAAATGATTTTTAGAAGTCTGCAGTCTGCGAACATATTCAAGATCGTCCCCACCATTACATTAGATTTGATAAACCACAAATTCTCGCAAAAGAACACCGATTCCTACCAAGGATGATACGCGAGGCTATTGAAATTAAAAAACATCCTAATTTCAATAGAGAAGATGGTTGGGTGCTACCATCTGCTTGGGATCCTATAATTAACAAAATTAAACCCAAACCCAAGCATACCACTGCAAGACTTCATGATACTATAAGCTCGTTTTGCGTAAATCGGACCAAAAATTAATATTAAAAAAAAACTGAAGGTAGCCGGACTAACTATGACATTGGGACGTCAAACATCTCAGTCCCCCCCCGTGACCATGGGTGCTGTAAAGCACCCGAAACGTCGGGATAATAATAAAAATAAATTAAAGTAATTAAACGCGATAAAATCCGTAAATAATAGTTTTATTCAATGAAATGATTTTGATAATTTTTTTATTTTAAAGCTGGTGCTTCTCGTGTGGTCACATATATAAATTTTTCTTTATAAAAGAGGAATCAAACGAGCATGCGGCTCACCTGATGGTAAGTGATTACCGCCGCCCATGGACAACCGCAACACCAGTGGTATTGCAGATGCGTTGCCGGCCTTTTAAAAAGGGGTAAGCTCTTTATTTATTTAACCAGGATTTAACCAGTAGTTTTAGAGTTATCTTTAATAATGCGTATTTAATTGACTGCGACTACATTGGTGATGTACTCATTTTATTTATATTGAAGTCGGTTGTACAAAATGTTTCATTTTACCACTTGTTCACCAGCGAATGAACGCAGCAAGTGATAAACCTCACCTCCAACTATGAGATATACATTGGGAAACACGTTCTTCGCCTGCTGCAGCTGTCGCGCGTGGCCCTGGTGGAACATGTCATAGATGCCGTCGGAGTAGACGCGCACTCTCCGCGGCGCGGTGCCGGCTAGAGCCGTGGCGCGCGGCACGCGGCCGTACGAACACCGCTCGCGCTCCGCCACGGCCATAGGGTCTGTGCTGAATGGCGCTGCTTGCCGCAACGACTGTACAACAAAAACATATAGGTGAACTGTTATGTTAAGACGACACATCGAAAAGGCTATCGCCATACTGATCCGAGTGAATACATAATTTCTATTAAAACTTGAAAAAACGCCGTCATAAGGTCTAAAATTGCGTAGCGGCCGCGACGATTAAAAGCGCTTAGAAATTGTCAGAATCTTAAAATATTTTTTTTAATTATTGATTTAAGTAATCAAAATGATGAACAAGTAAATTATGAATGTTGACGTTATGAATATATTTGAGTGATTCCCAAGCATATAGATTAAGTAATTTCGTTGCAATTTCAACTGTAGTGATTTTTAGAGGTGTTTTCGCAAATAATTATGATCAAGTCAAAATTATACAATCGTGTTTTTGAACAATCAAATTCAAGATAAAGACATGAATTTACCTTTATCAAAATCCCACTTTCGTAAGTGGTGTCATAGTCCTATACTATTCGATGAAAGGAGGTGCATTTTTTCACGGTGTCGCCTTAAACACTTCATTTATGAACAAGCTACTTACTTACTAGCTCAGAACAACAAAGAAAGAAATAGGGATACTACTATATTTTTACTACGTATATTTTTTATAGAATAAAGGTAACAAACGTAAACACACTCCACTTTATGATAAGTGAATGCTGTGGCCCATAGACATCTGCATTTATCCTCGATTAAGAATCAAAACGCAGATGCGTTGTCACCCCTGAAGACTATGAAGACTAAGATGGAACGACTCGTTTCCAGTAAAAAAGGGTCTCCGGATCTCTACACGCACCATACGAAACACAGCAGTATTAAGCTGCTATTTTACGCTGGTACTCTGTGAAAGCGTGATCCTTCTCTGGTCGAGCCGACCTATTCGTGCTACAATCATAATATAGCTGCAGCGTGGCTTTACCACGTATAGCGTAGTAAATACCACATAGTCAAGCGATGCCAAAACCATGTTTCAATTGTTCCTTTAGGCCGTAAAAATTTAGCGCTTGAAGAACACATTTGCACCTTACAGCATGTTTATGGTTGTAAGTGAAATTAGATATAATATGTGTATTGTGTACGTGAGTACGTGTTCTTATAATAAGTTGAGCACGATTTCGAATTGAATTTTACATCACTTGAAATGTACATAGCGCATTTTTTTCTTTCTTGCTCTAAGCTTACTTGGCTATTTTATATCTTACTACAAATATTTATCTAATTTTGTAAAAAATGGTGGCGTCCCACCACAGAGAAAGGAGGTTACACAATAGGAATGATGGACAGAACACTATCTGTTCTTGTTACTTGTATGGCAGCTCTCAATAAGAATAAATAAATCTATAAGGACTACAAAATCGAGAAACACGCCTATTATTATTATTTCCTGTCCGTTCGTTCTTCCAGCTTCCTTTTCGTTTCACGAAATAGTTAGTATAATCCTGAAACATATTTCTTTCATATGTATGTAATTTCTTAGAGAAATTATTTAAATTTTTTATCTTAGAGAAATTATTAAAATTATCTTAGAGAAATTACATACATATGAAAAAAAAAAATATGTTTCAGACTAAAATATACGTAGGTAACGATATTTTTGTTAAACAATGAGCAAGTTAATAACAAAAGATGGTGGTATTTGTACCTAGAAACGAGTTTGAGCCGCTGACGTATTTACTACGTCAACTATTTGAACAAAAACTTCATATTTTATTAATCCTTTGAGGCTAATGCCGGCTGACGTTTTTTACCGTGTGAAAAATAATGCGTGTAAATCGTTAAAAAAATGTTTTTCAATTTTTTGTAAAGTCAATATTGATTTTGAAACAACTATTCCTAAAGTATAACCAATTGAATAAAAAAGATCCATAAAAATCAGTTCTCGATGGACGAAGGTAGTAGGTAGGAATTGAAAAGATAGGAATAGGATCAATTCAAGCGTATACGCATGAAAAAGAGCATATTTATTCAGATTAATAAAAGAATAATTTTTTTTTCATAAATGAATGTTATCCTACCAATGATAATAGGGGGCTTCGTTCGGTAAAAAGGACGGTGTTGCAGGAGCTGCTTAAATCATAAGAGCTATAGGAATGTACAAAGTTCTTGGAAGTCCTATGGAGCTTGGCACCTGTTACGATCTCGGAGAAGCGGGCGACCCCAACCGTTGCGAGTCGTTTGTATCGACCTAGGTTCCCTATTAAATTGTGTTTATGATGCAAAAATGAAGTGTATTATATATTTATACTCCTATTATTTCTGTAGTAAGTATTAGCTTACTACCTGATACCCCGCTCGCTTCGCTGGGCGCACGATACTACTTTATTGCGGAACCTATTAATTTTTTTTGATGGGACTATCATAAAATCCGTTCTACGTCTACAATGCGAAATGAGTAACTATACTAAATTTCAAGTAAATCAGGGTTTATAGTTTTACAGATCTCGTGATGAGTCAATCAGTGGTACTTCGCTCGGAGAACTGTAGTTTTTGTAACTATTACAAATGTTTTAACTTTTATAAAGTCATTTTGTTATCTGCTAAATTTATGTTAATTTCTGTTAATTCAATATTAATATTATCTGTTACTTTAAATTATTTTTAAAATATGAAGTAGCGATAAGACGATGGCAGCGTGATTGTGCTCGGGATGTTAACATAGTGGCGTGATGTGAGATCACTGGTTACTGTAGTGAGCAATAGATATTCTGTAAGGCATGTACGAGTCACCCCTTATCTTTGTAATTGCCGGTACTCGAAACACTGTTGCCAATTTAGCGACAGATAACTGTTTTGGTCAACACTCTATAGTTCATAAAAGATAGCTTGATCTCTGCGACAGCTGTTAGTAAAAATCACGCCTATGAAGTCCTGAATTTCTTAGTAGTACGGACAGTACCTGTCAATGTCATACTTTATGGGCATGCCGACCTAATTAGTGCATGCCCATAAAGTATGACATTGACAGGTACTGTCCGTACTACTAAGAAATTCAGGACTTCAAAGGCGTGATTTACTGACACTTGCACTGATCAAGCTATCTTTTATGAACTATAAGTGTACATCATGAAGAGATAATATACAAAACTTATCCGTATTTTTTTTAATGTGCAGATAATTATTATTGAATACTGAACAAATAAGTAAGTGCATAATTAATAAAAAAGATATACCTTTAATCATGTTTTATATAAAATGTAAGTATAAATTATATAAGAGGTTAAGGTTTATATGACCCAATGTTCTTTATTTTTAAGTCCTTTATGCTTTATTTTTGGATTATTATATTCAGCCACACGCCGAATACAAAATATTCTTCGGATTTCCTGGCCAAATAGCCGAATATTAGGTATACTTATATATTACTTAGTACTAGTACTAGTTGTACTATATTAAGTAGGGTACACTTTTGTATACGGCCGGGAAAGATAGTGTTTATTCTTTAGAGGGTCTATTCTCTAAAGCTTTGATTGTCTACGAAAAGAAGAGGAATAAATTACTGCCTGAAAATGAAGAAAAATTAGTCTTCCTGCACCATTATCCTCCACTTTAGTTACAATAGTTTGAGATCATAGACATTTATCCGAAAGTTCTTTTTTAATTCTTATAATATTGAAGTTGATTATGTACATATGACTACTTTAATACTATTTGAATGACATAATGATGTTTTGTTCATGTTCAATTTATACTAAGCTTTTCTTTAATAAAGAAATTTATAATTTTCTGCCGGTTGGAAGTTACCTAAATTTTATTTTTATGAGGCGTTAGACTAAAAAATAAGATTAAAATTTTGTTCAACGAAGTTACTACGTTTTTATTTTAACGAGGCAAAAGCCGTTTATTTAAAAAATGTAGTTTGACATTGTATACACAATAATTTTTAAACTGTCATTGTTCTTAATAAAAGTGTTATATTGCATTTGGTTTTTGTTGTAACATTTTGTCCCTTATAGTGTAACAACCAGCGCCTTGTGCGGGGCTAAAAGTTACACGCCTCTTTCCCCAGAATTCATTAATTTATGTCAATTCTACTAGTCTGGTATCTAAAATTGATTTTAAATTAAAAACCCGAATAATTACTTAATCAAACAAACCTACATTCTGGTAAGACAATCAAATAAACAAAAAATTGCGACACTGCCCCAGTCTCCCCTACCTAGATATTTGGCATTCGTCCGAATATGATAAAATAGCCGAATAGACCGAATACCGAATAATAGCCGAATATTGTTTGAAGGTCGTTATGGATGTTAACGTCTGTTGTTATCAAAAGAAAAGTATAATAAATACCTACGTAAAGAGAAACATAAGATTCAACTGCTACGGTTTAATTTATTTTCTTTGAAATTAACTTTCAAATAAAATATTTTTTTTTATTCGAAAAAATATAAATAATATAATGTTACTTTCATTTTAAGGGCATTTTTTTATTTTAAAGCGTTATCATTTGCACGTGCAGTAGCCTCGAAATATCCTTAATGCCACAGAGCCCGAGTGCATCGCATAGTCCTACTTTGCACGATCGACGCGTAGGTATGTGCAAAATTATAAACAAAAATTGTCATGTAAGCAAGGTCAGCGAAAATAGATAATGCCCGATATACAATTGCCAGTATCGATGACGTAGGCAGAAAAATTCAAGGTTAAAATATATTAGTTAACTCCGGAAACGAAGGAAAACTTTATCGAATACGAGAATTTCTACTCTTTATTGACACCAATCGAACATTAATATTCCGTAGAAAATACGAACTAATAATCAATGACCAACGATCACGTCCGAATACGTTCGCACTACATACTGCTTTTAACAGTAAACTCCTAAATATTTGGTAAAATCTTATTATTTTTTGCCATTTCACATCCTTTTAAACTATTCAATAATTTAAATCTATCAAAAATGTATTTTTTATACAGTGAAATGTTGCTATAACTTTTATTTTTATTTACTAAATTATAATAGAATCAAAACCAAAATACAAGGCATAAAATTAATGAATGATGTAAAACTA